AAATATTATATACAGTGAGACACTGACTTCCTCTTTCATTCTAATTCTCTAAGGATGTTCTCATAATTCTGTGAAGACAGAGGTAAGGTCTCCCTAAAGAGTAAAGACAGCCAAGCATTCTGCCCATTTAAAAGACTTCCGTTTTCCAAATCTCTTGGTTTCCTGGCTACAATGCCGTCCTCCACATGAGAGCATCTTCACATAGTTCAGGGAACTACCACAAGCACCTGAGAGGTGTTTGATCATTGCTAATGAGAGTCTTGAAATTTCTTTTGTCTTTTAGTCAAGAGTCTTTTGTACCAACATCCATGTCATCTTGCTATGGATGGATTCACTTGCTATCTTGTAAACAAATTAAAATCGTATAACCTTTGTAGTTCTCAATGAATGTCTATACAATATAGAGGTATGCAATTTTAACATATATCTACATATATTACAAGTATAAAAATAATCATCTTATATAAAATATGTGTATTTAAATAAAACATTTTAAATCTACTAGCATAATCTCAAGAAATAACTAGGATAATTATATAAATGCCTACATATCAACATAAAAATGCAACATGTTGAAAGAAAAGATCATAAAGGATTCAGAGTACTAACTGCAAAGAAGTAGCATCTTGTCTATAAAAGAAACAAGGAAAGAGAGCACCATTGCATTTGATCAGGGAAAAAGGGTAAACTAGAACTGAAGTGAGATTTCAGTTGTGCCTGTATTATAGGATGGTTAACACTGCAGTGAGATTTCAGTTGCACCTGTATTATGGTGAACTGATTATACTGAATAGGCTTCATATCTTCCAGTGTTGCTGGTAACTTGAGAAGAACAGGAATCATAATGCTTGTGGGTGTAAGTGTGCATTTGCTGAATGCCTTACATACAGAACAACTTGAAGCTAAGTGTGGCCACTACTAATGCCGAAATGATTGAACAGTCAGTTTTACTTTCTTCCCTCCCCTCTCCTCTTGTTCTTCCTTTCTGCCTTAGTGGATTCTATATAAGTCATTCCAAAGATAAATCATTTCAATAAGAAAACTGCAGTGGTGATTTTCTGAATTTTTGGAACTTTGCTTCTTTAGAAAACTTTCAGAAATTATTTTTGCTGTCAACTTTCCAGTTTTATAGGAGGTTTATTTAACACATTTTAATTACCATTAGTTATTTATAAACTATTTATTTGTGATAAACTATGCAATTAAGCTCATTTAGCCATTGAGCTAAAAGTACATCTACTGCCCCAAACTAGAGATGAGGTATGAAGGAGAAATAACTCTTCTCATAATAGGGAGGGCTAGTTATAAAGTAGATCAGATAAATTCTAGAAAACCACTTTTTACCTATCCTACTCTTCAGGTATTGATATTTTTAACCATGAATCTTAGGGACAAAAAGTGAACACCTATCTGAGAACAAGATGAATTTGAAGAATGAGTTCTTCATAACTCACATCTATGTATATAGTGCCAGTGGGACTAGATAGCTTGGGCTGCCATAGCAGGATATCACAGGCAGAAATATCAGAGTTTCTGTCTGGGGATGTGGAGGGCGAAAAGTCCACAGTCTTGGAAAATAGTTTTGGTGTCTCCTGAAGTCCATTTCCCTGGCATATACACAGCTGCCTCCTTTACATCACACACATTCCCTTGGTCTCTCTCTTTCTTCATAATGAAAGAAGTCCTGCTGTACTGAGGATCTACCTTTTTATCTCACTGGATTATCTCCTCAGATATAATCACACTGGGAGGTAGGGCTCTGACATATACATTTTAGGGGCCATGATTCCATGACAGTATAGTGGGTGCTCTAGACAGACTGGTGAATAAAACACATATTCCTTCTTTTCTGGAGCTTGTATTTCAGAGGGAGGTGCACATCATGAATAAGAATAGGTTGATCTAGTAAGATGAGTGTTGTGGACATGCTTACACAAGAACAGGAAGGGGAGTTATGAGTGCTGGTATATGCCTTGAAATAGGTAACAGTGTCTAATATATAAACTCCCTGGTATAGCTGAAATTTAGCAAAATCTTGAAGAATGTGGGTGGGTTCACTGTCTTTGACAACCATCGTAATTCTCAGTTGAGAACAAAGGGCATTAAGGAGAGGCTGTGGAAGGAACAAATTCATGGAGATTATGTGATTTTGTTGCGGCCATGCACAAAATTATACAATCAATTCTGTGGTTAAATAATTGACAGAAATCAACATATTTCAGCTGGGCAGTGGTGGTGCTTGCCTTTAATTCCAGCACTTGGGAGGCAGAGGCAGACAGATCTCTGTGAGTTCGAGACCAGCCTGGTCTGCAAGAGCTAGTTCCAAGACAGCCTCCAAAGCCACAGAGAAACCCTGCCTCAAAAACTCAAAAAAAAAAAAAATCAAAATATTTCAGAGCTGACTATTTCTGTTACAGGTGAAAACTAGGAACATGAATTGCTTTAATGCTCCAGTTGAACTCCTTGAGGGACTATTGTCTGGTTGTCAAGCTTGTCATGGATGGGTAGCCTTCTCCTGATATCTTGGTCCTTTTGCATTGTCAACAGCCCATCACTTGCTGTGGTGGGAAAGACTAGTGTGCAATCTCATTATTTATACTGACATCTATGCCAAACACATAATTCACTAGGCTGGCTTGTATTCTAAATGAAGAATTTCCTCCATGTTAGACCTTGGCCTGAGTTCTAGAGTGAAGGCACAAAATAAGCCAGTCCCTATTCTTTTTTTTTACATGTTACTGTCAACTTGGTAAGCCATAAACACAAACCAATAGCCAGTATCCTGGTGTTATGTACAGAGATCACTGGGCCCCAAGCAGGAAGCACTTAGTTCAGAGCAGAGAGCACATGACAAGCTGGGCAGCTTTTCAGGAGTACCCAACCACTGACTGCATCTTACTGGAGGAGCTTCAATTGGCTATGAGGTCACAGTCATCCAACAGACATCAATCAATGAGTCCTAGTATTAAGAAAACATTATACTAAGCTATGGCAGAATAAAAGTTATTCCAAGTTAGGACACTGGTAATGAGGAACAGACACAAGCAAGCTCATGGGATAGATTCTACTGGATTCGAGGAGTGGGTGTTCAGTTTGCAGAAGTTTTATGGGTATAGTTATGGGTACAGCCAAGGCAATGAAAATGGAGGCTCCTGAAGACAGATGAAACAGTATGACAAAAGATAGGGAAGCAGGCAGGAGTGCTGTGGGAAACTATAGCTGTTTCCTGGAGGATACATCAATCATGTGTAAGACAGACCAAGAGTGAGCAAAGGAGAGGTAGAGGGGAAGGAATACGGAGGGAGAGAACAATGAAGACGCAAAATGAAAATGAGATAAGTGCTTCCCATATCGCAAGAAGGGATTCAGGTTTGTGCCATGCACACACTGATATTATGCCATGGACACACAGATATTTATGATGGAGTAGTAGAATAAATGTTAGAGATAGTTTAGGCTTTGCTTCATTTTGGATTTAGGTTGAATAGTGGACTGGTCTAGGCAAAGAGGAAGGTGGGGAGAGGCTAGAGGTTTGGTCGAAGGAGCCAATTAGGATTAGTCTGAGCCAAAACCATCGTGATCTAAATCTGTAGTGGAGGGAAAGAGAAGAATGTGAAGGACAGATAAATGGCAGGGCTTGACAGCTGACTGAATGACAACATTTCTGAGATGATGGACAAGCCTGGTTATGTGTTGTCCCACTTCTTCAGTAATTCAGTGACAAGCCATGACATGCCGATTGTCCAGTTGTCCAGCAAATACACAGCATAAACAACTCTAAGACCTTAGTGAAAAGGATTTCACTTCAGTGCAGGGTATTTTTTAATGGTTTTTAAATTCCTTGAGTCTAAGGAAGTCTTGTCTTATTTTAATCTGCTTTGTCATGATGTTGCAGTGTTTGATGCACACAGTATTTTTTTTTGCCTAAATTAACTTGTCATATGAAAACCTAAAATGTAAGTACACCTTTGAATTAAAAAAAAATGTTCCCAGGAAGTGGCATCACCTAGAGGACTGTACATATTTAGATCTTAATAGATTAACAGCTGTATTATTTTGATTATGTTTATATTTTGTTTGCAAGAAAGTCAGTTCTGGGAGTGTAAGCTGAGGTAACAATTTTATCTGGACAACGAGTATACTGTCTTCTCATTTGGCTTAATTCAACCCATCTCTCTACTTGCAGAGCTTTATGGATCATTAACCATTCTAAAACTCAGGACTACCTTTTGCTATGTGTGTTATGGTTGTTCAAAGGCTGAGCTTTAGAGACAGAGTCAATTTATACTGACTAACTCTGCAGAGAAAGTTTTATGAGAGTGTTTCATCGATAATGTTCAGTTGACAAAGTAATTGCTATTCCAGACCCTTTTGGCCTGAAGAGTTTTTGTTCTGAATCTGTGGTTTAAATGCATAACAAAAGCAAAGACTCCTTAATGGTACTTTCTTTGAAATTAGAATGTGATTACTTTAAAACATGGATAGTTTTATTGCCTTAAACTATTTTTAAACTGCCATTCGTTTTTTAATGGTCTCCATCACTGCATGCTGTGGAGAAGAAAAGGTAGGAGAAAATTCATACTGGTTCAGAGCTGGGCAAGGACCTGCAGAGAGGAGGAAAATATATTATTTTTTGACCTTAGTGATCATTAGTTCTTTCTATGCCTCCCCTAAAGCTCCATATAGGCCTTCCCAGCTCAACACTTATAGCCTAATTGGACCAAGTGGCATAAAAGGTTACCCAGCCTTTCATTTGTGGAAAGGTGTATGAATTGGAAAAGTGCAAGTAGACACCATGAGTACAGATATACCTTATACATATATGTGTTTCATGATATGCTCTTATTCCTTGAAATATTTAAGAACAAGACAGTTTTTAACTAGTGCGGAGTTCTAAAAAGTTTGTGCTCAGTGAGGAAAATAATAGGTCCATTTCTCTGAGAAGGGGGTTGATACTCAGGCACTTGCTATAGAAATAGGTCAAGGTAAAGAAGTCTTACCCTGCCATACATGCTCTGGTAGGCTCCAGCTATCATCTGCCTCTGTGCATTGCTGCGTTTTGTTAGGATGTCGATCAGCATGTCTTTGTTGCACTCTAGGAATGAATAATAACAGAATATCAAGGAAGTTCTTACTCAGTAGCTAGGAAGACTCTCCATTATGGACTAATCATAACTAACCAATGGACAGGTGTTATCCCTGTTAGTATTTTACTTTTAAATACAATTGGATATCATTAGCAATGATTGAAGAATCCTATTTGCTCTTCTCTCTCTCCCCCTCCCCCCTCTACCATTAATGCTAGTAATATACATTTCATTCCTTCCATCTAAAATCCCATAAGAAACATAAGAAGGTAAGAAAAATACAGCTTTTCTTCAGCTATCTAGTCTACCCTCCTGAAAAAGCGCCTCCTTGACTTTCAAGCTCCTGAGTAATAACTGAGTACCATGTCTTTCCAATAGCACAGTTACATACGTGGCTCATAATGAACACGTGTCCTGAAAAGAGGGCTGTTTTTGTAGGACCCACAAAAGAAAGGGAATAACCCAGAAGGAAATAATGAAATTACAAGGTGTTTACATACTTTAGTTGGGTGAAACTTTGGGAGGAACATGGTCCTTCACCCATTACCTAGGCAGTCTTTCTGTGTTGTGTATCCTCACTTATTCATATCACAGTATTACATTATCACATTACACCAAAACATTCATTGAAACCATGTATCAAAATTGCTTTTCATTATGTTGTATTTCAGAGTGGAGTGACCAAGATAACTTTAACCTTTGTATCAGCTTGGCTAATGCAGATTAATTTCTATCTAAAGCCTTATGACCTCCTTTATCTTAGGGTATTTATCTTAGAAAACTCAGAAATGTAAATTCTGTCTTTGTTATCTATCATCTATCTATGCATCTATGTATCAATTTATGTATCTATATATCTATCTATATATCTATCTATGTATGTATCTATCATCTATCTATACATCATCATCTATTTATTTACCTCTCATCTGTCTATTATCCATCTATCCTTTTCATAAGAGAACAGAAAGATGGATGAATTAAAAAGAAAAAGGAGACTGTAAAGTTATTCATGAATAATGAATAGAAGATTTATTCAATGATTTCCATTTTGTTATTCTTATAATCATAGAAATTATTGAATTACTATATTCATCTGGTTTTGTTATTCTGCTGAGATTACATACAAATTTTCTCTCAGATTTACTTTGCATTTATTAGCTATTATAGTGGTTTTTGTTCACTTATGCTTTATGAGCTATTGCATAATAATTTTAAATGGATCTCAAAAATGTTATTAAAGTGTGTTAATTAAAATATAAGAAACAAAATACTGATAAAAAACTGAAAGAGAGTCTATTACTCATTGACTTCATAAAGTGATAATAAAGGGACATTATAAATAACTCTATGCTACATGTTTTAATTGTCTGGATAAATGGATCCATATATGAAATTGGATTAATAATTAATAGTCTGGCAGAATAAGTATTAATATTAGATATTTTAATAATTAATCTGACAAATTTTTAAAAGAAGAAATACCAGTTGTCTGTAATTTCTTCTGCATACTTGAAATGTTCTGATGCCAACCAGTATTACTCTAATGTCCAAACCAGAGGCAGACATTATAAGTGAACTCCTGACAAAAATCTTTCATGAACAAAGATGCAACTCCCTCTCCAAAAAAAAATACATAGGAAATTGAATACAACAGTATGTATGAAGAATTATATGTAGGTCTAACATTAGACAACCAGTGTAGGCTATGTCATTGACAGTTTAAAGAAGCAAATTCATGTGACTATAAGGAAAGATGTAGAAAAAGCATTTGACAAAATACAATGTTGTGGGATAATTTGAGTGTACTCTGACACTCCCCAGAATGACAATAAAGTTTATTTTGAATCATAGGATGGAGCTAGCTACTAGCTGACCAAAATTAGCCATAGAGGTTTTGGAGGACCAAGGACATATAAAAAGACCACTGAAATAGTAGGAATGGACTTAGGAGATTCTCTGACCTTTTGGATTGAGGAAGGAAAGAGGTTACTAGTCACTACTCTGCCATTTCTCTGATCAGTGAACTATTTACCCCAATACCTGACTCCCAAGATTTATTGATAAAATAATAATTAGGTAAATACTTCAAAGTTCAAAGACAAATGTTCATGCCAAAAATTCTAACCAAAGTAGTAATCAAAAGAAACTTTTTCAGTTTGGTGAAGGATTTCTGCAAAGTCTGGTGATTATTAGCATGGTGAATAAGATCCTTCACAAGGGAAAAGTGGCCACATTTAGCTGAGTGTGAGTATTTCAAAACAGATTACTTTTGACTTGTGTACTCCTTTGTTAAGATTTATGGATATAGGTTAAGAATGGTTTCAATTTTCCAATGTCACATGGAGATTCGGAAAACATACATGCTTACAGATTATAAATACAAAAAACAAAGAAACCAACAAACAATAATGATATCAACAAAAACAGCTTTTCAGAGCATGAATAAATAAGCAGCTGGTGGTGAATTGAGAATCTGGTGGTATTATTAGGAGATGCATGCCTAAGAAGTTCTGTTTTAGGTTGAATAAATACATTTTAAGCATCTTCCTGCAATTTTTGCTAAAATTCCTCATTTTCATATACCTTAAAGTCCATTTTTGTTTAAGAATTATATAATTAAGACTATCTGGGCAAAACATTGATTTATCTTTTCCATTTGCACTTGACCAAAATCATCAAAAATTGCAGGCCTTTGATACATGTGAAACTATTTTTGTTCTGGAATGCTCCCCAGATATTGTGCCATCAAACTCCAAACACTCTGAAAAATGTCAGCCTAAACCACACAAGCAAACTTCATGAGAGTCAGACTTTCACTCTGATGGTAATGACAGGATAGTTGAAACTGGAGAAAAGAATGTATTTATTCATTATTATTATTTTTTTCTGTGTGTGACCAAATTGCTCAGTGCTCTAGTTGTAAAGGATATATCATAGTCAGAATCCTGAAGAAAAACTTAATTTGTATCTGTGGTTTTTCTAGTGACTGTTGATGTTTTAAAAGAAATGAAATGATTGCCAACTCCTAAAGCCAAATTCAGAAATAATATACTCCATTATTTTCCTATGTGTGGTATGCTATTTGTGATTGAAACACAAAGGTGTGTGGGTGTGTAGTGTGCATTCATAGAGGAAAGAGAAAAAGCAGACAGAGAGAGACACAGAGAGAGGTGAGACAGTTGTAGAGACACACAGAGAGACAGAGAGGAGAATGATTTTGTAAAGTAATCATGCCATGATGTTAAGAGTTTGCTCTCTTATGCACAGATTGAATGTTTTTCTTTAACTATTTATTTTTGTCTTTTTTATTTGAATTACAAACAAGATTGAATTGCATGACAATCCCAGTTCTTTTAAGTGTAGTTGTTTAGTCCTGAAAAACCATTCTGGGTCTTACAGTGTAGGTCAGTAGTACTATTTCTTTTATATCTTCTTTATATCTTTTGTGTTTATCTTCCTGCTCACTTAGAAGTCTTTTAAGAGTGAGTTTTGTTCATGAATATTTAATAGTTTTACATTGAATCTTAAAGGTTAAAAGCAAGCTATTTTCCTTTTCCTTTCCTTTTGTAAATTCCCTTCCTTACAGGTTAAAGAATTAAAAGCAAGCTATTTTTCTCTTCTTTTTGTAAATTCCTTTTCTAAACCCTGAACTCATCTGATGAACATGAATTTGTTAAGCCAAATACCACATGCTAGGAACTCACAGATCACTCTCTAATTACAATGGACTGGCATGAGACAAATGATGGTCAAGGAGGAAGTGGCTAGGAAGAAAGATGCCCAGGGTGGCACAGTTGGTAGAGCCTGGGGGCTCAAAGAAGGATGCAGAAAGGATTTCATTTGGAGAATTTAGGTTAAAAACAGAGCAGAGACAGAATAGCATCCCAGGCAATTATATTAGGACAATTTGTGAGGTGTGAACAAACAGAACCATCTGGGAGTGTAGGATGCTAGATTTGGCGACAAGAGTAAGTAGCAACAGACATAGGCTAGAAAGAAAACAAGTGCAGAGGTCATGAGGATGCATTTGCTTTTGACTTTGTTTACTGCTTTTGGAATTTTACGTGAGAGTACACAGACTGACATTTGAGGACATGAGGACTTTATTTCAGGACACAAACTGCAATTTCCCTACAGCATCATGGTCTATTATTTTCCTCTACTTCTATGTTCTTGTGTCTGTCCTCTAGTTATTTTACATGCATGCTATCATGTTACCACACGGTAAAGAAGGACAGCACAATAACCAGTGCACAGATTCCCAGGCTTACCAAATCCTTGTAGTGCTCCCCCTAGCAGTTGGGCATCCATCACCGGGTTGAAATTTGGAGCTGGGAAGATGGTTCCTTGGACCTGGTGCAAAAAGTTAACACATAAGAGATTGTACTAATTTAATGAAAAGTTCCAATAGAATTTTCTGTATAAATGCATGCAGTAGACTATACCAAACTGACATTTATTAGATATCATTATTTGCATGTTAAACACAGAAAGCTAATTTGGTTGAGATTATTTGATTCAGTAGCTTCCACTGTATTGGCATCCATAATCCAAATAAGAAGTTGAAATTTTAGATCCCATAGTAAAAAGATGGAACAACCAAATTAAAATACGGATTTTCTTAGGTAATAATGACCACATTAACTGATGACCACTTTATAGAAGCTGAAAAAAAAAACATACTGAAAGAGTCATGTCATTCATCTAAATTATAAGAATTAGCTTTTTTTGGCACAAAAGAGAATTTAAAATCATATGAGAAAAAAATTAAAATACTGGAATGTAGATTATGGAATTTCTAAAAGTTTGAAGAATGTACACAAGATTGGTATTATTTACTTGAAGCACCTGGGTGCAGAGAAAAACATTAAAAAAATTGACCCCCACATCTCTTGTCAGTAATAAAATAGCAGAACTTTTAGGGAAGGTTTCTGATTCCAGATACAGTCAGCAAGAACTCTGCGCCCTATGCCCACCCTCCTCCCAACTAAAACTCTACCTATCACATATCCTTTCTGCTTCCCAGGGAGGGTGAGGCATTCCATAGGGGGTCATCAGAGTCTATCGTAATTTTTGGGATAGGGCCTAGCCCCACCCCTGTGTGTCTTGGCTCAGGGAGTATCCCTCTATGTGGATTGGGCTCCCAAAGTCCATAACTATGCTAGGGATAAGTATTGAAATACTACAGGAGGTCCTGTATATTCCCGAGGTCTCCTCACTGAAACCCACGTTCCTGGGGATATATTTATATATTTCTTTCACTCAGAAAATAATTTTTAACAATCTATTGTTTCAGAACAATATTAAGTTCACAAAAATATTTAGCAGAATGGATATTAATTTCCCATAATTTTCCTATTTGTCCATCCTCTCTCATTATCAGCATCTGTGAGAGTAGTATGCTTGCTATATGTACCTACTTGATATAAATATATATATATTATGATATATATGATATATATTAATGTGATATATATTAATCTTCAGTCCATATTTTATATTATGGGTCACCTGTGGTGGTATACATTATTTAACTTCAGACAAATTTATAGGGGCATGTGCTTATCATTATAACCACTGTTATAATATCTCACAGATACTTCAATGTCTTAAGCATCCTCTACATTTTCATCTCTGCCTATTAAAAGATTTTTTTGAGGAATAAATAAGATGTGCCTAATTTTCTGCTATAACAGGAATTGGAAGTGAACTCACCACTTGAACATTACTAGTTACTACCTTAATGATTTTAATCTTGCTAAGTGTTATCAGCCAAATGAAAATTTATTTTAAAATTTAAAAAGATAAAAACTCAAAGCACTAAAAAATCAGAAACAATGCAAGAATTTCCAGTGTATCCATTTATATTCAGTATAGTAAATTCTTAGCTAGAATAATATGACAAGTGAATGCTACAAAGGAGATATAAATAAGAAAGCAAGAAGTAAAAGTATTCTTATTTGCCAGTAACATGATTCTATAAATCAAACATCCCTAATATTATACCATGAAAATTCTACAATTTATAAACACTCTCAATAAAGGAACAAGATGCAAAATTAATATACATAATTCTGTAGCCTTCAATGCACTAACAATATATAAAGAAACAAATCAGAAAAACAATACTGTCTTATTTATTTTTTCTATTGTTGTGGACACATCTTTACCAAAGCAACTTATAGGAAAAAGTGTTTACTGAGGGCTTACAATTTCAGAGGAGGAGCTTAGGACTTATCATGGTGGGGAGGAGCATGACATCAGGAAGACAGGCATGACATTGGAACAGTATTGGAGAGCTCACACATTCAGATAACAACTGCTACCAGAGAGAGAATGTTAATTGTGAATAACATAGACTTTTGAAGTCCCAAAGCCTACCGGTAGTTACATACCTTTTCCAACAAGCCCACACTTCCTAATCCTTCCAAATAGCCTCACCCTGCAGGGACCAAATATTCAAATATATATGAGCCTATGGGGACTATTCTGATTCAAACTACCACAAATAACAGGCCTAATAGATTTTTAAAAAGTGTCTTAGGAAAAGAAAGACCTGCACAATGGAAATTTTGAGACAAAGAGGAAGGAAACTAAAGAAAATACCAAAAGATGGAAGGCCCTTCCATGACCACGGATTAGAGGATTTATATGTGAATATGTCTATCATATTAAAACCAATCTTCAGATTCAATGCAATTCCCATCAAACTCTCAATACAATTATTCACAGAAATTTAAAAACATAGTCTTAAATTTCATATGGAATCACAAAGACCCATTAGAGCCAAAACAATCTTGAACAATATCAGCAACAACAACGATGATAATAATAAGACTGCTAGAGGTGTACCTCTCCAGATTTCAAGTCATATTACAGATTTATTTTGATCCTTATTTCTATTTATGATGAGAAAATATGACTGGAAAGTATATCATGTAGGGGAGAAAGAGTTTACAATGTGAGCCCCAACTTAGAAAATAAGGTGGACTTCCATCAGAAACAGGAGAAAGAAGATTTTAAAAACATGTACCACATGTTTACATAATTGTGAGCTGGCCATGATAGTGAACCAAGAAACCTGTATGTATGTGAAGTTACTGTTAGCACTATTTTCCATGTAGCATATTCTGACATAAAGCTGTTGTGAAGTAGTTGTCATGGAATTGCAGAATTACAGATTTTTCTCGAGATTTAATAGTTCTAAAAGGTAACTACTCACATTTGTATTGCATTGAGTACAACATCTGTAGGTATCTAGATTCTCAATACTTTGTACTGAGATGTATGTATCTCAGTGAGTAATAGATATGTCTTCACCTGAAGGACTAGTAGCACTTGGCTAAATCTTGAAAACATTACAAATTTCAAATAATTCCTTGTGGTATATAAAACATGATTCCTAGTAAGGAAAGCATAATGCTTGCTGTGGCCGATAACATATTTCTTACATTGTAAAATGTGGCCACAGTAAAGTTTATTCTTATCAAAATAATTATTGCAAGATATTAGGAAATGTGTAAATGTTTTGTCTTGGACCCCATAAAGATTTGAATTCAAGTTTCTTCTGTGCCAGTAAATAATTGTGCGGGCATAGGAGTTCCTTCAATTCAGTGTCTCATTTTTCTTACAATGTATGAATAATATGACCTTGATATCATGTGTGTCATAAGCATGAGAAAGTTTTAAATATGATGATCAGAAAATACATACAAAAGATCAGGTTTGGTTGGGACACTTAACTGTAAATTTTAATATCCAATGTTCACAGGGAAATCAAGATATGAAGATCTAAGAACAAATTAAATTAAGTTGGAGAACATGTAATACTTCTACTAATTCTCTGTGAATTTCTTACTATGTATGTCTTAGTTTGACTTACATTGCTATAATAAAGCAGTGATTAAATCTAATGTGGGGCAGGAAGGTTTTATTTGGCTTACAAGTTATAGTTCATCATTGAAGAAGTAAGGCAAAAACTTATGGAGGGGGTTTGATGGAGAAAACCTAGAAGAACATTGGTTATTGACTTGATTTCCTTAGCCTGTTAAGTTATCTTTTTCTGCAGCTCAAACCCACTTGCTTGGGAAAATATTATCCAAAGAGGTCTGGGTCCTTTCACATCAATATCTACACAGCCAGTGCAGTAGGACAATGGGCCCATGATCATGGAATCTACTGACCTTACCATGTTCCCCACCATTCTGACACAGCTGGCCTGATAGAATTATAGAAGTACCCTTTGAAGACACAGTTTGTGGTAGTTTGGGGGGAAATAGCTCCCCAAAGTGAGTGGCACTATTAGGAAGCATGGCTTTCTTGCAGTAGCTATGGCCTTGTTGGAGGAAGTGATCACTGTGGCAGCAGGATTTGAGATATCATATATCCTCAAGCCACACCCAATGACACAAATCACTTTTTGTTATTTGTAAGATGTAGAACTCTCAGCTACCACTCCAGCACCATGTCTGCCTACAAGTTGCCATTTCCCACCATGATGATAATGGACTGAACCTCTGAACTATAAGCCATCACAATTAAATGTTTTCCTTTATAAGAAAATAAAAAGAAAGAAAACACCTCATTGATGTACCTACAGACCAATTTAATGAGACAGTGCCTCAAATGAGGTTCTCTTTTCTCAAGTAATCAAGTTGACAAAAACTAACCTTCACAACACATCTTGGTAATATTCATTATTCATTCCTCCATCTAATTCCTCTCAGACCCCCTCTATTTTCCCAAATCCCAACTTTTTGATGTTTTTTTTTGATGGTCATATACTCATGGGTGTGGGCCTATACACTAGGTCATCATTCATTAGATACCACATCCTTAAAGAAAATGGACTTTTTGTCTCCCAGAAGTTATGATGTGGTACCTGAGTTATGAAGCATGCTTCTCTCTTAGTGGTGGGTATTTGGAACCTCTTTCTACTTTTACTTGTTTGATCTTGTACAGGCAATTATGGATGGCATGGACTCATAAGTATGTTAGCCCTGCCATATCCATAAGAGACTGTACCAGTCTTCCCTGATTTCTGGTCTTTACTATCTTTCTGAACCCTGATCCCTGGACCTTGGGAAACAAATGAGATGTAGATGTCCAGGTTGTGCCTGAGTATCCACAGATACTTATTTGCTGAACTTTGTCAGTTGTAACTTCCTGTACTAATTACTGGCCACAAAGAACTCCTCTGATAAGTCTGAAAGTTACACTAATCTATAGGTACAGAGTTACAAATTTAGAAGTCATTTTGATAACATGCCTTTTTTTTTTTGCAGAATAACAGTAATAAGTTCACACCCAGGAACTAAGAGCTCCTCAACCATAGATTCTTAGTCATATTTGCATATTTTTGTAATGTGGAATGGGCCTTGAATCCAATAAGAAAGTACTTGGTTACTCCCAGAACATCCTTGCCACTATTATCCCCAGCAGTGGACATACCCTGGGTATGTTCATAGGGTTCACAGGTGAGTGAGAGTGTTAATGATTCCCCCATTCACCAGCCTCCTAAATACCACCTTATGGTACTATACAATCTATCCAGCTAACAGGAAGCTTTCTAGTCAGTAACAGTTTGATTTCTTCAAGCCCTGTGACAAATATGTGAGCATCTTCAGCTCTTGAGTCTTATCCTCAGTTTTGATAGGCAACCAAAAGTGACAACAATAACCTGTTTTGTTTTGGGAATATAAATTTTTTTGAAATATCATCAAAGAAATGATAAAGATATTCTTTCATACTTTAACATATCCAGCAAACATATATTTTCCATTCAACAATATATGCAGAAACACATTCTTTAAAATCTCTAATATAATTAAATGGCTAGCAAGGAGAAATCTTCCCTAGGACTAAGCATATTCTGCAAGGTTTCAAAGCTCTCCTTTGGGTGAAATACAAGCTAGGTTTTTAGTAATGTATGAATGGTTGGAAAAATGTCCTTAGTATGACTTATTAGAGCAGACAGGACACTAGTCAAATTATAGAGTCTCCCTCTTCCTGGAGAGCAATCACATTACAATCATGTCTCCTGCAGATTAGCCCTAAGGGGGTTTTCAAGAGCTAAAATCTCAACACAAATCAAGGTGATGGAGAACATGCAGAGTTACACTAACTTCTGCCCTAGTGTGGAAAATAATTCACTCTGAGTATGAACATAAGACATTCTACACACTCATTTCAGCTGAAAGGGGGGGGAATGTTTATGCATTTATTTAATCTACATGAAGTCTTGCTGTGCAGTATCTGTACTCTCTAGTTTTCTGTTGCTGTGATTAAAATTCCACAGCCAAATGAATTTAAAGAAGGAAGAATTTATTTTACCTTGTAGTTCTAAAGAGATAGAGTCCAACTTGATGGGAAAAACAAGAAAACAGATTGCAGTACCAGGAAACTGGCTAGTTGCCTTTTCATCCACAAATAGAAAGCAGAGGGAACAGGAAGTAAGAATAGACTTACTCAGAAGATCCTGTCCCAGTCTGCTTCTCCAGGGTACCATGCATGTCTTTCTTAGGTCCTCCCTGTTTCCCAGAGAAAATTGGGAGCATGGGGGAGGGGAGAGGGAAAAAGAGAGTGGGGAGAAAAGGAGGGGAGAGAAGGACATGGGGGAACAGGAAGGTTGAGTCTGGGTAAAAATGGAGGAGACCAGGATAAGAGATATCATAATAGAGGGAGTCATTATAGTTTTAAAGAGAAATCTGGCACTAGGGAGATTTCCAGAGATCTACAAGGGTGATACCAACTGACAATCTAAGCAATTGTGGAGAGGCTACCTTTCAATGCCCTTCTCCCATAATGAGATTGATAGAGCCCTTATCCAGTGGATAATGGAAGCAGAGGCAGACACCCACAGCTAAACACTAAACTGAACTCTTGGAACCCAGTTGCAGAGAGAGAGGAGTGATGAGCAAAGGGCTCAAGACCAGGCTGGTGAAACCCACAGAAATAGCTGACCTGAATAAGGGGGAGCTCATGGTCCCCAGACTGATGGCTGAGAGGCCAGCATGGGACTGATCCAGACCCCCTGAATGTGGGTGTCAGTTAGGAGGCCTCGGCAATCTATGGGGCCTTGGATAGTAGATCAGTATTTATCCATGGTGCACGAATAGACTTTGGGAGCCTATTCCACATGAAGGAATGCTCTCAGCCTGGACAACGGGGGCAGACCTAGGCCCTGCCTGGGATAACATGACAGAGTTTGGAGATCCCCCATGGAGGTCCTCAGCCTCCCTGGGGAGTGGAGGGGGGTTGGAGTGGGGTCTTGGGGAGGGGTAGGTGGGGAGCAGGGGAGGAGGGGAAGGAGAGGGAGCTGGGATTGACATGTGAAGCAAGCATGTTACTAATTTAAATAAAATAAAATAAAAAAGAATAGACACACCCTTAAAACCTGTTCCCAGTGATGTTTATATATCCTTCAATAAGCCACTACCTCCTGAAGATTCTGTAATTTTCCCAAATATCTCCATCAACCTGGGACTAACTGTTCAAATGCATGAGCATATGGGGGCAACTTTCATTAAAATCACAAGAGTGTTCCATGAAGTAAGGCTAAGAATGTTGGTCTCCTTTTCATCATAGCTTCACCATAGCCCCTGATCTTTTTTTTTACCATGGGATAGCTACATAGATTCACTGGAACTTTGATATGTATTTGGATAGTAGCAAGTGAGTAATATAAAGCCAAGGAATTACATGATTTTTTCTGCTAAAATTAAAGGAGACTAACACATATTTATGTATTTAATTATAAATGAATTTTTAAATGTAGGCATTTTGGAAGACACAGGATTCCAATTGGTAAATATTCTGGGATATATATTTCAGATTGACTCTAGAGACACTTGAATATATGTTAACAATGGATTGGATGTTTACAATTAGCCAAAGCTTTATATCTATCTATCTATCTATCTATCTATCTATCTATCTATCTATATATTAAGAAGTCTGTTAACACAAATTAATGTGTGTGTACAGAGTACATCATGATGTACTTTGAAAAATTTGGTAATAAATTGCATATTGCTTTTTAATCCTGTGGACACAAACACCCATAGTTTATGAAGAATATGGGATTATAAAGGTAGATGGATTTGTCTTCATCTCCTCCTATAGTTGGAAAATAATTTGCTTGTTTGAGCTCTGACTCGGTTATTTTATATTTCCACTATCAAGTGATAGTGGAAATTTATTTGTTATCTTTTTAGAACATCTGATAGTTACATATTCCTAGAATTTCCTCTAGAGTATAAGTTAAATATAGGCTAAAGTAGAACCTTTTAACACAGTTAGGAAAAAGTCTTAGACATGAAATTTTTTACTAGCTTGGGTACTTTGGAAAGTCTGGGGATTGGTAAAAGAAAGATCAAGACATACAAATTGTTTTTTTTTCTGTTATTGTGGTGATGAGGAAGACGTAACCAATGTCAACTATCTAGTGTTTCAACCACTTCATAGCATAATTAGTTAGGGGAGAAGCTGAAAATTGGTTTCTCTGTGCAAGACGCATAGATGTCAAACTATGTTTCAGTCTTAAACTTAATTCAGACTTGTCAAGAGGCCACAAAACAGTGATTCCTCAAGTATAGTTTTGAAAAGCAGTTTTTGGCACTGTCCCATCCATGACAATTATATTGTCCCCAAATTCAAAACTCAGTTCAAGCCCCACCAATGACATGGAATCTTTTTAGATTTTACCAAACAATGCTTTCCACCTGCACCTCTATTATGGGTGGCCCTCTTTGCTACATTTCATTATCTTCAAATTTTAAACTTCCAGTGGGCAAACGCCTTTCTGTTTTGCCTTTGAAGCTGCTAATATGGCACTTGAAATATAATGTGGACTTTAAGAATTTTTATGCATCATGAGGATCCCCAAGTTAGAGAAGGACATTAAGTTTCTATTGTGTTAAACACATGACCAAAAGCAATTTGGGGAGGAAAGGGTTTATGTTACAGCTCAAAGTCCATGAAGGGAAATCAGGGTAGTACCCTCAGGCAGGAACTGGCAGAAACTGAAGCACAGTGCACAGAGGAAAGCTACTTACTGGTTTGTTCCTCAGGACTTCCTGAGCCTGTTTTTCCTAGGAACACCAACTCACATGTGATACTACCCACATTGGTCATTAATCCAGAAAATATCCCACAGGCTTGTCTGTGGGCCAATATAATAGAGGCCTTTTTCTCAATTGAAGT